AACAGCTTCTTTTCTTTCACAGTGAGAAACTCGCAATTGCCTTTGGACTTGTAAAGGTTCCACTGGGTTTACCAATTCGGGTATTTAAAAACTTGAGAGTCTGTGGAGATTGCCACTCTGCAATCAAGTACATCTCGGCTATTGAAGGAAGAGAAATCATTGTTAGGGATACTACAAGGTTTCACCACTTCAAGGATGGTTTCTGCTCCTGTGGTGATTATTGGTAAGCTTGCAAGATTGCAGCTCACACAAGTTCTAACTTGAGGATATGCTTTTATTGTCATAGCCTTTTCAGCATTCCAACTCACTAATTTTCTACCTCCTGATGTTATATTTACGTCGAAAGGAGCATTGACCTTGAGAGAAGGACCAGTGAGAGACTAATTATGATAACTGGGAGTCTGAGACTCTCAGTCAAAAGCTCTATATTTCTTTGAACTTGTATGCGGAATCACCTGAATCTGGAAAGAAGTTTGTCAAATGTTGTCTGAATTGAAGAGATGATATAAAAGCAAATCAGGGAGTTGTAATATTTGATCAGCTCCTTATTCTTCTTGCTTGCACCATAATTGGGCTTTCACAGGGTGAAGGCACAAGTTCTCCGATGAAAACTGATGTTTGGAGAAGGAATTTAGGAGGAGAGCTTGTGAAAGTGATAATTTGCAGCATGCTAACCGCGGTGTTTGGAGAAGGATTTCAAATTTCTTGAAGGCCTTGATGATGACGCTCTTGTGCCAGAGATCCTTAACCGCAACCTCCAAATTATATGTAGGGAAAATTTCACTGAAAACTCCTAGACCAGACATAATAAAAAAGAAAACTCCTAAATTTCTGAAACCTCACCGCAAGGCTGGAGTACTGAATTGATATTAAATTTCAGTGGAAAATGACAAGATTGTCCCTCATTGAAAGAGAGAAGTTTTGCAGAAGAGAGAAAGAAGAAAGAAGACTGGGGCGATTGCTTGAGTTTCTCTGGTGGCTCTGCTCGTGCATGTGTTCGTGAGCTGGTTGTTCATGTACCAGCTTTAGTTCGGAGTGATTGAAACTGCTGCCACAATCAATATATTCTGGTGGGTTTTGGTGTTTGGACTCTGGCTACAATCAATTGAAATCTAACTTTTTGTTTAGCTATAGAAACTGGCTATCACAAGGGACTCTAAAAGCCTCTCAACTGGTTGTCTGCAAATTGGGCACCTGTTTGTTTGAAACCTCAAAACCTTAGCACACCCACTACACATGCACTGCAGCAGGCGAAGGAATGCAACCTAAGTATATCAAGATGAACTCAAGGACTAACATATATGATCATCAACATGAGAAAGGGAGTAATTTAAGGCAGATCCTAATTATTCAAGTTGGCTGAAATAAATATTTGACATGAGTTTAATGTAAATTAATGTGTTGTACAATCAGTATCATAACATTTATTCATAGATGTTTTTTTTTTTTGCCAATATTTATTCATAGATGTTAAAGGAATGCAAATGCAATATTAACAATGTCAATGTTGTCGTAACTCTAAATATTTACAATGTTATTCCAAGTTGTTCAATGTTTATAATGTTATTTTTCTATGTATGTATGAACAAATCATTGGAGGGGAATGAATTACTTGTTCATGCTCATTTGCAACTGCATGTGATAAGAAAAATGAACCATAAATATTGATGGGTGTAGGTTGGGCTATAAACGAGTCTAGTAGGCAAATGAACAAAATTTGGTGGGAAAATAAACAACAATCTAAAGGCAAATAATCAGCTCATCTAAATATGAAAGCAATACTTGAAATAAAATTACGTAGAAGTAGTGTTACTACTGAGTCCAATAGGTAAACAGACAACATTTAGTTAGAAAATGAACAACAATATGTAGTCAAATGAACAACTCATTTGAAAATGAAAGCAACATTTGAAATATAATCAAGTAAAAGTAGTGTTACGAACAAGTCTAGTAGGCAAGTGAAGAACATTTAATAGGAAAATGGACAACAATATGTAGGGAAATGAACAATATCTATGTAGATAATGAATAACTCATTTTGTTATGATTACAATACTTTGAATAAAATCAAGATTCAGTAATGACACAAACAACTTCTATGAGAGAATAAGCAACTTCACGTAAGAAAATGAATAATTTCAATATCAAAAATTTACAACTATTTACCATGATAACAATAGATTTAAAACACACTTGCAAATTTTTCACATTAAAGTTGTTCATTTTTCTTATTGAAATAGTTAATTTGACTATCACAATTATTTGTGCACATAATTTTAATCAATTTTATTCTTATTGTTGTTATTATGGTAAATGAAGTTGCAAATTTCTCATACTGAAGTTGTTTATTTTTTTATATTGAAGTGGTTATTTTACTATTAACTTCTAGAATTTCATGTCATTTCATTACATTTTCTTTAGATTCTAATCCATTTTAGGTCAATTGTATATATTTTTATCGTCCAAATTAAAAAAAATGTGCATTTTACTTTGAGTTTGCATTATTGGCTTTAATTTAATACTTTTAGGCTAATTTTATCTTATTTTAGTTTAAATATTGATTAGAAACATTTATGGAGCTTTGTTGATGTTTTTGGAAAGCTTTTAGATAAAGAAATTAAGTACAAAGTGAATAATTTTTGTTAGCTGTAAAAATAGTGTAAAAGTGCCAAAGTCGTCAGAAAGTTGCGACTTATGTTCGCAACTTTTGCCGCTATAAAAAAAACGCTACGTTTTATTTATCTAAAATTAGTTAGGTAGGACATATATATGCTGAGAGCTCAACTCATAACGCATTTTACACACTTTTAGACACATTTGGGGTTTGACTGTGCTAGGGTTTTGGCATTGAAAGAATTGGGATTAAGAGATTGAAGTTTTCAAGACATTTAGAGCTCATTTTCTTTATTTTTTTTATTCCTCTTCCCTTTCTTCTTTTGTAATATGAAATAGATCCAACTATTTTGTGTATTTGTGAAAGCTTATGAGTAGCTAGACTTTTTATTCTAGAATTATTTAAAACTCTTATATGGATTAATACTAAGTTTCTCCTCTCTTTTTTTGTGATTAATGATATATATGTGTTTATTTTACTCTTTCCTTAATACTTCTAAATGATTGGCCACTATTTAGATGTTGGATTTACTTGATTGATACTTGAGAGAGCTAGATTGAGTGTAGAACTTAGATAAAAAGTGCAAAAATTTGATATTTGCATGTTAAATGGATAGTTTTGCTAGTAAAATAGAGATATACTTGTTAGCCTTGTATAGCCATGTTAGGGTTGGTGTTTAAAATTGAGTTTTATTAATTATAATAAGAGATTGGGTAATTAATTTAACTAAATACTTGTTCATGATTTGAAAGAACTTGTCTAAGTATTTTTAAACCCTAAGTTAGCACTTAATTATCTTCATTAAAAGTATTTATAAGAGAAGGTAATTTTAGTGTTATGAAATACAAGGAGAATAAATAATCTTAGATTCTAATTTGTGCTTGAAGTTTATGAATCATTCTCTTTTCCTCATTTTCTAGTGTTTAAAAAATTAAATTTTTCCTATAATTGTGTTTTGCTCAACTTAATTCAATTTGCTTAGTCTTTTGTTTGATTACTATTTTTAAACAAATCTCTAAAGAAATAATATTTTACTTTCATTATATTACTTGCTATGACCCGTGCACTTGTGGTGAGCAACATCTACCTACCAAAATAGTTATATACATAGCTTTAATTAATTTTATTTTTAATGTTATTATCATGATAAATGAAGTTGCAAGTTCTTCATACTTAAGTTATTCATTTCCCATATTGAGGTGGTTAATTTGCCTATCAAAGTTGTTTATGCACCTAATTTTAATTGATTTTATTTTTAGTGTTGTTATCATATTAAATGAAGTTGAAAATTTCTCATATTGAAGTTGCTCATTTCTCATATTGAAGTGGTTAATTTGACTATTAAAGTTATTTGTGTGCATAGCTTCAATTAATTTCATTCTTAATGTTATTAACATGGCAAATAAAGTTGCAAATTTTTCATACTAAAGTTATTCATTTCCCATATTGAAGTGGTTATTTTACCTATCAAAGTTGTTTGCGTGAATAGCTTCAATTGATTTTATTATTAGTGTTGTTATTATGGTAAATGAAGTTGCAAATTCTTCATACTGAAGTTATTCATTTCCTATATTGAAATGGTTATTTTGCCTAACAGACTTGTTTGTGTGCATGATTGCAATTGATTTTATTTTTAATGTTGTTATCATGATAAAAAAGGTTACAAATTCCCTATAATGAAGGCTTTCATTTTCCATATTGAAATGATTAATTTGTCTACCGGAGTTGTTTGTGAGCATAGTTTTAATTAATTTTATTCTTAGTGTTATTATCATGGTAAATAAAGTTGTGAATTTCCCGTATCAAAGTTGTTCATTTTCCTACTGTAGTTGTTTATTGTCCCTTTGCATTGAAACGCAATTTAAGTTCTAAAGATGATATCCTCACAAAAATGATAAACAACATTAGTCCAAAATAAAGTAATTAACAATATTTTATAATAAATGAATAATATATAATATAAGAATAAATAAATTATCACATTTGCTATATGTTCAAATGAAGATAATTTTATCATTTTTTTTTTAAATTTAATTTCAATCCAACTGCAATAAAATTTGAAAAATTTTAAAGTTTTTTTTAATGTCTTTAATGAGGGAGCCTTTTTTTAAATTCTCCCACATTTGCATCTCACCGACTTCAAGCCGTCTCAAAGTACCCGACCCTCATCATTAACCCTTTCTTTTTTTCTTTTTGCTAAAAATTTATTTATTTACTTACCAAAATATTATTCACGCACGTCCCAATTACCAATTCGACACCGACACAAGTACAACCGTGTCAGTAAAGCAACCCAAGACCCAACAACAATCTCCCCTGTCTCCCGCCATAAATAAGTAATAAATAGAAATTAAAAAAAATACAAAATGAGAAAAATATATCTAGCACTATCAGAAACATCTAGCGCTATCAGGGATCGAAACTCTTCCCATATTCTTTGCCATCTTTCTTTCTCAGCCTTCCGTATCTCTTCCCTTCCTCAATACATACATTTCAACAAATTCTCTTTCTCCCTGTTTCTCTCTCCTTTTCTTTTATTCTCATTCTCTCTGATCTCTTCATATTCTTCGACCGTCTGATTCCTCCGCTGCCCCGCCATCGCCACCGACCCGTTCGACATCGATGGCGCCCCGTCTATTGTCCTGCTTCCGCAAACGCCGCGGCGGCGGCGTCGCGCATGGTAGTCTAGGCGAGTCCGTCCGCGAGAGCAGCGCGACGGCGGATTTGACGGCGGAGGAGATGAAGCGCGGGGGACCGGTGTTGGTGGAGCTGTTCTCGTCGCAGGGATGCACGACGTCACCGGCAGCGGAGCTGTTGGTGTCGAGGCTGGGTCGGGGAGATTTCCGGCTGGAGATGCCGGTGGTGGTGCTGGCCTTCCACGTGGACTACTGGGATTACATGGGCTGGAAGGATCCATATGGTTCGAGTCAATGGACCGTAAGACAGAAGGCCTACGTTGAGAGTCTTGGGCTTGACACTTTGTTCACGCCCCAGATTGTGGTCCAAGGCAAGGCCCATTGTGTCGGAAATGACGAGAATGCCCTCATCACCGCCATATCTGAGGCACCGAGATACCCTGTGCCTTCCTTCGAGGTTCGTATATGCTCTAAAATACTAATTGTTTGGATATTTGTTATAATTTTATTATTATAATTATAGTATAACACACTGGATGCATGAATTCTTAACGAAAACTATGTATATGATAATTTACCAACACTGAATAGATCTTTAAATTTTTTTATAGATATTTTTAATTAAAATAACTTAATAACAATGATGTAAAGAAAATTCATACGTGTGTATGCAAAAATTTTATGTTTGTCATGTCAAATTGCACCAGGTTGAAGGTGTTTTTGTCTTCAAGTAAAGATTTTTTGTTAACGATATTGGGTGGTGTAGAAGAATGACAATGGATCTTTATGAATTATTTTAATCATAACCTTTTTTTTTTTGAAAAAAAAAAGTTTCCAAACGATTTGAACTTCAAAATTTTCACTTCTAAGTTATCATGCGCACACACGCACACACAAATCCTCGGTATTAAAAGGCTGAATCCAAGTTTGATTAAATTTTGTTTGATAATTATGATTTATGAGGGGTGAAATTCTGTTTACCATAATTGGTTAAAGAGTTAAGACTATTAGGCATTTATTCTTTGGGGGACATTTCAGTGATTTGGTTACTTTATTTGATTTGGAGATTCCAAACTTGAAGAAAAACAAAGCCAAGAATAAGCCATCCCTTGTGATGCAATAACCTGCAAGATACAAAAATGTTTTGGCCATGAAAAAGCTAAGAAGTCCAAAAAATGTTAAGAAGCTTTATTTTCAGACATTATCTATCTAGTGCTTGGCCTTGTTTTTGTGAAGTTCGCACATTTCCAAAGACCTACTATTAAACAAGTTAATTATAATGAACATATAATTGGAGGTTAAAAAAATGGGAGGGAAAAAACAGAATATTTTTAGGTTATCTGTCAACCACATGTTTCTGTCATCTGGTAGATCTGAAAGAGACCTTGACATATTTCATGCATGTGATTTTCAATCTCAATGCCAATGTCCCGCCTACCACCAAGTAGGAGGCCAATTTCTTACCTAACATCAAAATTCTTTATGAAATTTCAAGAAATTCCATTCTACTTCTCATTTTGAAATCAACGTTAGGCCAAAGATATCTATTTAAGTTTTAAACCCATGTGATTACTATAATATACTTTATTTCATATACCGCATAAAATCACTTTACTAATTTAATAACAAAATTGAAATCCCATCAACCATAGATTTCCTTGTTTGAATATGACCTTTGATATACTTATCTGGTTTTATTTATAAAGCACTTCCAACATGTTTCACCATAGTAAAAAAAAAAAAAACCTTAAAACTCATTAACTTTATCTAGAAATTTAATAATTATTCAACTTTACCCCTGTTAAATATACATATTTAACAACACATTTTCTCTCTCTAGCATTCAATGGAGGTCAAATGGAAAAATTTGTAATGAAAATTTAAAAAGGTGACTTATAAATAGGACAAAAAAAAAACTTTTTTCTACCCTATAAATAGGACCAGAGGAAGTGTATATATGTATATATTTAGATTGAAGGGTGGATAAAGAATTAAAGACAAAGACAAAATACAAGTCTAGCTATCTCCGGTGGTTCATGACACTTTGTCAAAGATTTTCCTATTTAACTAAGTGGTTTTGGGTCGTAATTTTTGTATTAATATCTCAAATAGTGTTTTGAATTTTTTTTTTTTGAATAAAAATGGATAACATTGCCCAAAAGAGATTACATAGTAGTTCCTACACTAGCTCATTTCTTATCATCATCCATCACCTCCCTACAGTAAAGTGGGGGTTGATCATAATAGCAAAAAGAACCTATTAGACTAGTAGCAAGACTAGCTAAATTATGAGCATAAACATTGACTTTTCTAAAAACGAAATCTAAAGAAATATGACTACTCCTAAACAGTAAAAATCTAGCATAATCAATAATGTCTCTATAAGGGTGCTTAGACGAATCTAGGTGAGTGATGATATTAATTGCCTCGGCATAGTTAGTATAGACTTTCACCTGCTGAAAACCATAACTTGCACGAATTTCCAAACCTAGTATGATACCCAAGACTTTAGTGATTGCAGGAGGGAAGCTACCAAGAACTGAGTTGAACCCCACCACCCAATTCGCTGAGCAATCCCTGATGACTTTGCTACATCGTGACACACCCTCCTTGAATGACCCATCCATATCTAATCTTACTACTGGCGCCTCAGGTTTCACCCATCTTGCTGGAGATCTTCTGGATTGATGCCACAAGCTATGTGATATGTTAAGCGTTCGAAAATCATTCCTAGCACGAAAAACAGTTGTTGGATCATAAATCCCTTCTTCAATAGCATCCCATAGCACACCTTTTGTTTCTCTACTCCCTATCTCATGTTTCAGATTCCAAGATACCCAATCAGTGGCACTTAACCTCTTAAATTTGTCCTATTCACTTTCTCTTACTAGGTCCTTCCATTAAATATCTGCATGTGGACAGTCTTGAAGCTAACGGATAGAGATCAGATTCCTGTAACCCTCTGCATGCTCTCAGTTCTGCCATGTGTACTTTACCCTTAGCTGCCAGTGAAAGGTGAATTTTCATTTTCTCAGGTCCTGACCAGCTCCAAATTTTGCTCCATAATTCCTCAGCTATTGATGATATGCTTGTAATAAGAAATTTGTATGCTGAAGAAATAATAAAATTACCATCCGAAGATGGTTTCCAACTAAAGGAATCTTCACCCCTCTCAACTCTTGGTATAGCAGTATGAGCAATATGGCTAATAATGGTACTAGGCAGCCAGACTCCCATCTTTTGAAGGTCCCACAATCCATCCGTTGTAAAGGAACAAAAAAAAAATCAATCATAAGGTTCTTAGCATCATAACCATGTTCCATAGCCATATGAGTGGTTTGCTATAATAAGCTTAGGAATCAATCCAGAACAAAGCGTTGCACCCATTGCCAACCCTTTCACCAACCCCAGCAAGGAAGCTCTCCCAACATCTAATGATGCTTCTCCATGTTAAATAGGCATGTTTTTTCATTCCCACCTCTGGGAAGACACCACTTTCGCATTTGTATTTAGCCTTCAAAACTTGAACCCATAAAGCTTTATCATTTTGAAGTATTTTCGGATAAAGTTTGAAGATAAAAGCTCTATTTTGTTAGTTTAGATTCCTAATTCCCAATCCACCTTTTTTCATGTCAATGATAATTTCCTTTCAAGTTAGGAGAAGTACCTTTTACTATCATTGGAGTCACCCCAAAGGAAATTTTGACAATCTTTTTCAACCTCAGACAGTAGTTTCTTTAGGAGTAGCATCATTTGCATATAATGGCATTGCTGAAACAACAAATTTAATCAAAATGGACCGTCTAGCTGTTATAAGGAAATTCTTTCTCTAACCTACCAATCTTCCTTTGACCTCGTTTAGAATGGGAGCAAATAAGTTGTAAGAAGCCCTTTGATGAATAAGCGATATCCCAAGGTATTTCCCAAGATCCCCCATAATCTTAACATTTAATCTCCTACTGAGATCAATAGCTCTATTAAAGTTAACATTTCTTGAATAGCACATTATTGTTTTTTCCTTGTTCACCTTTTGTCCTGAGTAAAAATAGAATTTCTGCATACATTCTTCAATGATTTCCACCTGCTCAGTAGAAGCCCCAGCAAATAACACAAGATCATCCACAAAGAAAAGATGTGTAATATTAGGACCTTTTTTAGACAAACGAATCAGTTTCCATCTCTTATCAATTTCATCCATGAGGATGTGGTTAAGTTGTTCCGTACAGAGAGTGAAGAGATGTGGGAATATTGGGTTCCCTTGTCAAAGACCTCTAGTAGGATAAAAAGCGTCCAAAGGAACCCCATTCTAAAGCACTCTAAAATTTGCAGAATTAATGCAGGCTAGGATCACTTTAGCGACATCATCTTTTATACCCAACTCATAAAGAGTTTGTTGAAGAAACTGCTAATCCACTCTATCATAGGTGTTCTCAAGATCAACTTTGATAGCCATATACCCCCCTTTTCTTCTCAATCTCTTCATTAAATGGATTACTTCTTATGCCACAATAATATTATCACTACTTTGCCTTTCAGGTATAAATCTACTTTAATATGGACCAATCACCTTGTCCATAATTGGTTTGAGTCTATTTGTGATCACCTTAGACACAATCTTGTAGCTTACATTTCAAAGTGATATAGGTCTGAACTCTTTGATTGTTTCTGGGTTATCCACTTTCGGTATAAGTGCCAAGAGAGTGCTATTGATATTTCTCACCTCATTCAACTCAAATATCTCTTTGACTAATTGATAAATGGGTTGACCCACAATTGGCCAGTGTTCTTGGAAGAAGAATGCTTGAATTCCGTCCGAACCTAGTGCTTTGAATGCCCTTATTTCAAACATAGCCCCTTTTATCTTTGCATCACTAACTTCCTCATGCAAGTCTTTCAACTCATTTTCAGTCAAAGTTGGGAATCCTCTTTTGGTTACAAGCTACCTATGATCTTCAAATTCCCTTCTAAACAGATCATTATAGTAATTAAAAGCTATCTACTTCAAAGCCTCTATATCAAACACCCACTGATTGCTTTGATCTTTTACAGCATCCACACGATTTCTCATTCTTCTCATGACCGTGGATCGATGGAAAAACTTCTATTTCTGTCTCCCCATTTTAACCAATCGCGTCTTGACTTCTGAAACCATATTCATTCTTCTTGAGCAAAATACTTATTATAGTTCGCCCAAAGCTCTCTTTCAACTTATTGGAGGTATTGATTGTCCTGCTTTGATCTAGCCTTATCAAGTCCCTCCAATCTTTTAAGAATTTTTGCTTCTTGTAAATTATATTACCCACTCTATTTTTATTCCAGCTAATTACTTTCTGGGTAAACTCCTCAATACAGTCATTCCAATTCCCTGCTTCCCAAGCTCTTCGAGCCAAATCCGCGAATTCAGTTTTAAGTAACCACGCAGCCTGACACTTGAACATATTATTTTTTTCCTTTGGACTCCTTATGGCTCTAAAATTTGACAAGAATTTGTCTATGGTCTAAACCAAATCGACTGAGATGATACACTTTAGCTTCAGGAAAAGAACTGATCCACAAGACAGTACAAAGTGCCCAATCAATTCTCTCTTTAATACTGGTTTTTTCCCATATAAAGCGATCTCCTACGAATTCAAAGGGGATAAGTTCAGTCTTTTCAAACAATTCCTAAAGCTTCTCATTGTAGAAGAATTTGCCACTGCACCCTGACTTGCCACTCGGCTCAAGATAAGCATTAAAATCACCCAAGACAATCAATCCAATTTCATTGATAGAATGGCTAAAATTAATTAAATCATCCCAAAAAACTCTCCTATGAACTTGATTTGGCTCCCTGTAAACATCTGTAAGCAAAATCTTCGAGCCCTCATCAAGTTATTCCATATCATAGTGAACAAACTGGGTTGAGGAAGAAATATAAGTAACTTTAGCAGCATCCTCCCTCCAAAGAATCCAAATACCACCAGTGTACCCTGTCAATTCCACTCTAATCCAATTTGTGAATCCCAATTTCCTATAAATTTTATCAGTTTTTGATCCGCTAGTTCTAGTTTCGAACAAAATTAAGATTTTTACAGGGTTTTGTCTCAATATATCCCTAACTCTTATGGGGAACGTTTTGCAGTTGGCTCCCTACAATACCAAGATATTATATCCATAAAACGGCAAAAAAAAAGAGAGAGAGAGAGAGAAGAAACCTGATCAATGTAGCCCTGCCTTCTTACCGTCCTCATCACAATCCGCATAATAGTCTGCTGTAGCCATATCCTCAAGAGCCAATGGCAGTTATGCGTTGAGATTCCGCTTAACCTGCACTGTACCAGATTCCTGCACTTGCGTATTCGTCTCTGGTGGTCTTGCATGAGGTGGTAAAGGTTCAACCAGCGTCCTATTTTTAATGGCATCAAGACACCTCGTTGTATTTCCCTGGATAGTGTTACCGTCTTCTGGGTTAACTCTCCCCTCTTGTACACACAAGCACTTTCTTCTTCAATAATCTTATGGCCTGTTTGGTACAATAGAATTGGAGGGAGAGAAGGAGAAGTGGAAGTGGAAGTGGAAGTGGAAGTGGAATGGAAATTTGTGCATGTTTGGTAGCATAGAACAAGCTTCCCTGTGGAAGTGACTTCCACCAAAAACGATGGAACTGGATTCCATCAAGGGCTGCATGGAACTAGGCCAACTCTCATGGAACTGCCCTGAAGATGACATTTTTGTCCCTTCATTCGTTCCACTCATCAAGATTCATCCATCGATCTTCCTTTTCCTTCTTCCTGACTGACGTCACCTCTGACCTCCTCCCACTTCTGCCAACGAGTCAATGGCCAACCTCCCCTGCTTCATCTTCTTTCCCTTCTCTCTCTTTCGTCTCCTACACTTTCCTCTTTCAACTTCCACTGATGCCAAGGATGATGAAGAGGACAACGATGACGACGACCTGAGAATGGTGCGAAACCAGATCTACTGCTTCCTAATTTTTTGGGTGCAATGCTGCGATGACTATGGGTTTCTGATTTGAAGGCTTGAGCTTCAGGATTCCATAGCAAATTAGCGACGATGTCTCCCTCAGATCTCCACCATCGCCACCCCTTCTTCAAAACCCATCCATTATGTTTCTCAGATCTCCATCGGTGTCTTGGGTTTTTGCATTCATAATTCGTTTGTTTTAAGATTGAGTCACTTAAATGTTATATTAATTCACAATTAATGGTGATGCTATGACCCATGAGCACGCAAGGAGTTGGAATGAGTTGTGCTCTTGGATGTGCAAGATTTCTCTGCAACTGTGTGGTTTAAGCCAAGAAGCTGACGAGTGCGACTTGTGAGAAGATAATGGTGGATTTTTAAAAAAATCATGAGTATTTTGGTCTATTAAATATAAATATATTTATCAAATAAAATTTTTATTCCACTTCTATCTCCATACCAAATATCCTTGTAAACTTCACTTTCACTTTGAGTTCCACTTTCATATCCTTTTCTAGTTTTACTTTTATTTTCATTTTCACTTCTTTTAAAAATAATTCTCTGTATCAAACAGGGCATTAGGGCACTGGGCCGATAGGGATCCAATGATGACTTTATGAGCTCTTAATGCTTGCAGTCTTTTATGTAAATGAGATAGCATCTTAGGCCTGGACAATGGACTCCTCTTACCACAAGTCAAAAGGGCTTTATTTTTTTTATTGCTCATATTCTTCTTTCGTTCAGCACTTGAGCCTGCCTTGTAATTACAATTCTTGAGTCCATCACTTAATGAAGTTTTTGCTTTCACTAACATTTCAGCCCATAGGCATTTTCACTTTTTTTCCCTCCCTTCCTTTCTTTTGCTCACTGCATTCACCTCTCTTGTGTGTGTTGACTATCACTTCACTTCCAAACACAAAAGGGATAGAGCTTCCCCTTCTTGTAGTATCCTCTGACCCAACCATTTCCTTTTCCTTGCTAACTTTCGTTTGTCCTCTTTAACTCTCCAGACTGCTTTTACCATTAGGCTTGATGTGACTCCCATCATCTTCATGCTCTTCCCCCAACTCAGTTAGGACAGATAAACGTGAGGCATCAGCATTCCTTGCCTTTATATTTCCAGCTTTTCCTTGACTGTCATTTCTTTCTATCTGACCACTACTAAACATAGCTCTAGGTAACCATGGTCTGAACACCTTTTTAGAGAATATTCAAGTTTCGTACTCCTCCTCCTAAGAGATCTCAGGATTATGAACAGGTATAGCATAAACTTGGTAGCTGAATAGAATTTATGTAGAGGGGAACAAATTTTATACCTTGTATTAAATATTAAATGATATTTACTAATATTTTATTTTAAAAGTAAATAACAATTTTTCTTTACATACGGGATAAATTACACAGATCTATCTGAATTTCATTGGAATCATACGAATTTTACCTGTTTTTGGTTATTATTTTTCTTCTATGTTTAAAATAGGGATAATGAAACTTTTAATCTCTTAAGTTTGTCTCAATTATCGATTTAATCCCATGAGTTTAAATTTTATCTTTGATCCCTTATGTTTTTAAAATTTTAATGTGAGTTCTTTAAATTTTAAAATACAAATTAGTTCTCAAAATAATATAATGTATAAAGTATATTGATAATTTGACGTGTATATATAGCTAAATGGGAATAAATTAAACTTAAAATAAGTTTAATTTTATTAATATAATCCTTTATAATATGTTTTGTTCTATTTTTTTTTTAAAATTTCATAGTCTGTATTTTTCTCACCTAAATAATTATATTCATTTTTACTAATCTATATGACTATTAAGGGTGAGCAAAATCGAACAAAATTGATCAAACCAAATCAGTCTAAATCAATCCAATTAAAATTGAATAAAACCGATCATTAGATTTAGTTTGATTTTATAAATTAAAAAACCGAATGGTTTGGTTTAAGTTTTGGTTCTTTTTCCTTTGAAACCTTAACTAAACTTGAGCTATACCTTCTACATTTTAAGTGCATTTTTTATAATTGATATTAGACTATTAGTTAGTGTTTAATATTTTTTTAATTTTAATCTGAATCAAAGTTCAACCTAAGCCCAAAATACCTTAACAGAACTTCTATCTTACTTTTATTAATTTTGTTAATTGCTTTTAGAATAAAAGATAGTCCAGAGTAAGGAGAGGTATATTGTCGTTGTTGATTGAAAAAAGTCAAATACTTCACGACTTGTTACTGAAACATGTTTTCCTTTTATTGATTTAAAACAAGTTTCTTTTTATTATATACATTAAGATAATTTGTAATAAAATTTAACCCATGTTAATGTTATTTACAATGCATATACTCTGATATTTATTAATAACAAAATTTGAATATTTTTTATTTTCGTTCATAAATAATAAAGTTGAGAATGTGACTTGATTTTGGAATATTTTTAAGTGTTAAAATATATTGTAACTTAATCCATATATGAATCAAACTAAACCAAGTCACCTAAAAATTGAACCAAATTGACTTTAAAAAAATTGATCAAGTGTTATTTTTTGTGCAAAACAATTAGTTTGGTTTGGTTTATATTTTGATCAAAATTGAACCAAACCATACTTTTAATCACCCTTAATGGCTATTGTTAATATTTTATTATTCAAGTCAGTAAATTTTAGTAGTGTAACTTTTTGAAAAAAAAAAAAGGATCAAATTGATGATCGAAGTAAATTTAAGGGGTTAAATTAATATAAATTAAATTTGAGAGATCAAATTGATAATTGAGACAAATTTGAAGGAAGTTGCATATCCCAATAAGTAGGGGTTAACTATATGGATTGTACGATACTATTGTGCTTTATCGTTTATCAAGCTTTTAGAAATGTTGTTAACTAAGAGATTTCGGTCAATAATTTTCATAAGTATTCTTTTTGGCTTCCTCTACTCCTCCTAATAAGGCTTAAAATTATTTGTTCGACTCTCCTCATCGATGCCTCTTGTGGTCTTTTCAGTATATATTCAAAAATTTTTTGAATGATTTTTTACTATTTTTCTCTCAATAAATGCTACGTTCACTTTTTTTCGTATTTGTTCATTTTAGGTTTTATGTTTACGTGTATGCCCGTACATTCATTTTCACATTTTCATCTATATTACTCCAACTTTATGTTTTGTTATCCCGTTAAAATTTAACATTTACTATTATATAACATAGTTGGTTAAATAATAGTTTGATAAAATTTTCTTTCTTTTAAGTTTATTAAATATCTTTCTATTATAAATAACTTGTTTAACTTTTCTCTAATTTAATCATCCAGCTTGTATCTTATGTACAATATGTCCATTAATTTTCCAAATATCTAAACCTCCAATGTTGATACACCCACACACACATTTTGAAAAAAATGTGATTAGACAGATTTTTTTTTTTGTTTTTTGCAATCTCAATAAAATTTGAAGAATGTGACTAATATAGTTTAAATTTTCTTGGCAGGCAACTTTCCAAAAGCCGTCACCAGATTCCTTGCAAGTCTCTCTCGCAGGAGCATTGAGAATGAAGGTGGACGGTAATGGCGTAAACGTCATGGTCGCATTATATGAGAGTGGTCTGCTCAACAACTGCGAGAAAGGGGAGAACAAAGGTCGTGTTCTATCAAACGACTATGTCGTTCGAAGGCTGGAAAAGCTCTGCAACGTCAAAGACATGAGTCCCAAGAAGACAGTCTCAGGAACCCTTAACTTTGCCTTGTGGGAAGGATTCAATGCCGCGAAATGTGGAGTAGCACTCTTTGTTCAGAACAACTCTCATCAAATTTTTGGGTCACAGAGTTTCAAGCTCCCAGAGGGCATATGATTGACTTCATGTTGTGGAATTGATTCTAAGACAAGGGCAAAAATATTGAAGAAGTCATCAGCCAAAGGTATTTAGTAACATAAAGTGAAGAAAAATGTTCTAACATGTATGATTTTTTTTTTGATATATCTGTGTCCAAACCGTTAAAAGTCAATGGCGTTAACTGTTAACTCGAGAATTAGAAATTTAACGGTTTGAACACAGATATATTGAAAAAATAATCTTATGAACACTTGTGTATTTTTTTTCACTTTAGGTTACTGAATGCTTTTAGCTGATAACTTTTTAGATATTTGGGCCATTTTGCTTTTATCATACGATATGCTCTGTAATATGATCATTTTTTGGTTACGTTGTTTAGGCTATAATGCATGTATAGGATGTGTTTTGTTTTGTTTTTTTTTTTTTTTCTTTTTACCATTTTCTTCATATTGATTTATCATTGAAACTATGCATAGTGGATGGATCTGTTTAATTCTGTTGCCTGCTCATTTTCATTGGATTTACAACTCAACTTTTATAACAAATTTTGATGCATAAACCAATTTCAAGACTTGGGAAAAAATTCCAAGTGAAAAAATTCTCATTGAAAGAATATGCCGTCTTGACATCATAATGTACAGCTGTGTGTACTTCCCAACGCATATATTTGGAGAGGTTGCTTCCATGAAAGAGGAAGATAGTTTGTTGCCAAAAGTAATTACATAGCTCAGTTACCCAATTGCCAAAAATTCATAGATGAGTTCATTTCAATAATATTAGAGAGGCGTTGACAAATGTGCAAAATATAACTAAAGCTGAAAAATTTAAAATTACAGAGAAGATAATAAATGAACACACAAGAAATTTACCATGAAAAAATTTCAATGCGAGGAATAAAAAATCCAAGAAATGAGTGAAAAATTATTGAAACATGGTTTTCATGATAACAAAATAAGAGAAGTTTGTATTTTATATGCTCAAAAATTAAAAAATTAATGGTTTGTATGGGAATAGGGATCTCTTTTTATTATATTTTAACTCTCTTGTCTTATTTCAAAATAAGTTCCTTATTCTTAAGTAATCAATAAACACTTAAACACCTTTCGTATTCTTTCCTAAAGTGGTTTCCTCTAAAAATTAAGGTCTCCTTTGGTACGATAGAATTGAGATAATGGAAATAAATATGAAAATGAAATTATAATTTTGCAAGTTTGGTTAGGTAAAAATGAGTGGAATTGAGCTTCTATATGGAAGCCATTTTTATTAAAATTGATGGAATTGATTTCCATCTTATGCCCATGGGAGCTCAAATTCCATAAGCCTTCTCGCCTCATATTCTCCATTATACCCTTTTTCAACCTCAATAAACTCAATAATGAGCACTACCCCAATAGTGGCAACAATAAGAGAACCAACTTAATGACAACCACAAAGACCTCTATAGTGATGGCAATCTCCAAGAAACAACAACAACAGAGATAGAGATGAACTAGATCTAATAGCAACAGTGGCCCACCTTCTCCTTTGCAACTCCCTTACTCCGGTGACCTCCCTTCTTCTAGATCTAACAATGATGAAGATAAACTAGAACTAATGACGATAACGAGCCACCTCCTTCATCTTTTGTTCCCCACTACAACTCCCTCTTCTTGCCCTCATAACATTATTGCTTGAAAGGATCCAATGATGGAGGAGTAAAGAACAAATATGAAGGCTAAGATTTTGATTTTCTATTTATATTTTTGTTTTATTGGATGGTAATTTTGATATATAGGTTGCGATGGTGATTTTCATATCTAGGACGGAGCAAGTTTTTTTTTTAAAGATAGGGGCATTTTAGTCTTTTCATATTTTAAATATTAATATTAAATAAAAATAATCTATCAATTCTATATACATACTAACCATATTTTTAAACCTCATATCCATCTCTATTTTTATATCCATTTTCATTTTTATTAAAATCATTTTAAATATACCAAACAAGGCATAAGTATTTCACTTGATTTTAACTTCTTAAGGACACTGTGTTTTGCTTGAAAGGGATCTTAATTGATCTTAGAATCAAAAATTCAAAATGAGAGCCTCTGTGGTTTTTCAGTAAAGTGGTCTTTATTCTGAAATAGCTTAATTATTCCAAAATAGCTTATTCATGTGTGTGTTTCTTATTCCCAAATATTCTCTCGTTAGCTTATTTAGAAGTAGCTTATTTGAGAATAGCTATGCTTTATTCCAAAATAGTGGCTCTTTCTTTCAAGCTGTTCTCAACATCTCTTTCGTAATATCTTATTCAAGAATAGCTTATTTGAGAATAGCTTCTCTTGTTCTCAAATAAAGACTTCCAGATCAAACCGTGCGTAAACATCTTTTGATATATGATCCTTACTTCAAAAGAGCCCTCTCTGCATTCTCATTGAGTTGTTCTTCATTATTTTGAAATTAGCCACCTTATTTTGAAACAAGCTTGAAGTATCTTGCTTTGTTTTTCGTGTTAATAATAGGGCAAATTTGAAACTCTCTATTCTCTTTCCTTTCATTTTCTGCAAGTTAGTTTAGTTATTTAATCTTTCTAGAATTATTCTAAACACAACTTTAGGTTGGATTAAAAACTTATTAACCTTAATCTAAAAATCTTTATTTCCAAATAGCTTTGTTCTTTAAAAAAAAAATCTCACACCTACCTTGTCAAAACATTTAATGCAAGGAGAGGTTACTTTCCTTACTTGCCGTGAGTGAGAAAACTCTATTATATAGAACCATTCCATTACTTCGTTTTGGAGAAAGTTCAAAAGAGAGATGACATTGACTCTAACGACTATATTCTTGAGTCTAACGGATCATTTATGAAGACCAACTACAAATTGAAGCATTTATAAAGATGATAAACAAAAAAAAAAAGTACACGAACGAACAACACGAGCCATTTCATTTATTATTTTACCAACTTTTACGAGCTTGTATTCATTGCAAGTGAACTTCATTGGTTATATGTGAACTTTTAGAGAGAGTATTTGATAGAAGTAATTTAAGAAAGTAATTTATTCTTAAACTCACTCTGTTCATCTATGTTTTTCTTTCACAAAATAGAAGATCTTAAACTTGAGGAGTTTTAAGAGAGATAAATCATTATCTTTATAAGTAGGAGTAATTCAAACTTTAGTGTGAGTCTGGGAATGTATTGAGGCTACCAAGAGCCCAGATTAATCTTAGTGGAGATAGTAGAGAAAATCTCAAGTGGTATTTGAGGACTTAACATAAGCTCAAGTAACTGGAGTTAAGCCATAATAAACAATTTGTGCCAGCTTCTCTTCTTTACTCTCTACTATGATTGATGATATCATTCTAATCTCATTTCTTTAATTTTATTATTAGCCAAAACTTTTATGAAGTTCAATTCACCCCTTTTATTAGGCGAACTTTTAAAAATTACAATATATAAGATAAGATTAACTGTAATGGTCTCATCTCTATCAGAACAAAGAGACTAAATTATAGAATAAAATACAATGACTTCTCCTTTATTTTGCCAAAATCATAAAGACCTCTCTTGTGTTTTTAAAATCTATACTTGAGTTTAATTTTCAATACCATTGATAATATTTTGTTAAAGATTCTAAAATATTAAATTTTTTTATCTGTGATTATGTTTGTTAGCCTGATTTTTAGTGAAAGAGAGCGTCATGAACCTTAAGGTGTATTCCAGGTATGCCAAATGATTGAGTCCTCAATAGAGTGGGTTGTGATTAAATGATTAAACGGGTTCTGAAGGTCCTTTACCATAATTTCTTTAGAGAGCCATCTACATGAGAGAATGATAAAGTAGTGCTCCGTGTTGAGCTTAAAATTCAATGATATTACTGATAAAATGAGTATAATGAGTGCTTTATGAAGATGTAGAAGGAAATACATACATGAAACTAGTATAGAAGGTTGAGTTTGCACAGAAAAAGTAGTTTGCACTAGGTGAAGTTTGGCGATGCAAAATTAAGACTGGTGATTTGCATTTGGCAAGTTTTATATAATTTTGGCAAAGTGTTGAGAGTCCTTGAGCTACGCGTTTGTTGTCTATTTATAAAAAAATGATAATGGCTTGCTCCTTTTGAACTTAGACCCTTTGAGGAATTAAAACCCACATAGTTTAGGGTAAAAATGCGTGTTTTTTGGTCAAGATTTTTTCAAAAAAATGTTTATTTTTTTTAATAAAATGATTTTTAATGTTAGTTTGTATTTTTTAATCATGAAAATGATTTTCTTGTTTGTGACAAGATCTTGAGAAATAATTTTAGGAAAACATTTTGATAAGATTTATGAAAACTTCATACACTCACCTTTTACAATTCGAGCATTTAGGCCAACTAGAATTTTGCTCTCTTTCCCTTATTTGGGTTGTAAAAATGAAGGCCTCCCTTCCAAAATGAGGGGATGAGGAGAGGAGGGGTATACTTTTATTGTATTAAGATTAATATACCCATGCTATAATATGATAATCCAAAAATGTCCCTCCCTCTATGCTGCCATATGCCCTTTTGTTCAAGTTTCTCCTCTTAACTTGCGCCCCTATGATTGCTCCCTCCATTCAAGCCATTGTCAGTGTTAGATATCAAATTTTTGTGTTCAGGCTACCATTCGAAGTTGCCAAGGCTTTTTCTATCTTGGCACAAATGAAGCTACTACTATTGAATCATTTGACAATCGAAGACTTGTACTAAGAGAGATTAGATTTTTTTTGTTTCCTTCCTTTCATTTTATTTTTGCTATTATTCTATTATATCCATACCTTTGTTTCATAAACTTTGAATAAATTATTATTGAATATATTACTAGTAATATATATATATATATATATGAACAATGGATAATTATATACTTATAATTATATAATAAAAATGTATAACTATATTTTATTAGAAAAAGACAATTGAAAAAATACTACTTTTGATCCGTACACTTTGCTCAATTTTTGGTATATGTCTTTGTATTTTTTTTTTCAGGTCCCTACACTTTTCTTTGTTTGTAACGTCAGTCCCTACATATTTAGAGAGACGTTAAAGTATCACAAACATTATTAATAATGCTAACATGTCAATTAATATTATTAATTTTGTAGTTATATGTAAAACTTATGTTGACATAGAATTTTTAATAAGTAAAAATTAAAAAAAAAACCTACATGGAATTTGTGAGGTGGCAAATCCAGGATGCAGGACAATGTAATCTAAAAATTAATAAATTAAAAAAAAATCTTCTAATTTTTTAAAATTAATTACATTAGGAAAAAAATATAATAACATAAGTAAAATTATACATATTTTTATTTGGACAAAATATGTTGAGAAGGTTGACATAAAATTTAAATTTAAATCCCAAATATTTTTTATTGAATTTAGAGAGTTTAAAATACTAAAAATATAGGGCACAATATTGTACATTTCTCATGTTATATATGTAATTTTCTCCATGTGAGGAGGTACATTTGATTCTCTCACATCACCGTTTCTTCACCATTGAA